TTACAGTAAGCAATACCAATGGCTGAAACAGGATTTTGAAGTATTTACTATCAAACCACTTTGAAGAATATGTTTACATATTTTATTATCAGTTGTAACATAACTTACTCGTGAACGTAAGGCTGCTAGTGAAATCCTTCAAACAGGCACTCCCGTGGTGGTTTAAGTAGAAGGTTTAGCTTTACCTGGTGATCTCCAGGGAAACCTTCATGCAGCAGAAGTTGACAATACTCCTCAGAGGGAGAGGAACATGATGAGATTGTACAAGAGGAACCCAACGAGATTGTACAGGAGCCCCTTGTACAGCCAAATGGATAACAGTGGTTAAAGAAGAGGAGGTGAAGGCTGTGAGCATCCTGGAATAGCAGCTGGTGATCTGACTCACCAGTATTTTAATCAGTCAGGCATTCTATTTATTTTTACTTTGGAACTCTTAGATAGGCAAAGGAAGTATTTTTGTTTTAATTATTATTTTTTTCTCTTAAACATGTTAACTTAAAATGGCATTAAGTGAGTTTTAAGGTAGGGGTGTGTGTTAAGTGCTACAACTTTTTCTTTTCTTTTTTTTCTTTTTTTTTAAGTCCCTTCTGACACAAATTGAAACTTCTCCTTGCTGACAGCACCGAGCTTGTTTAAATAACCACCCCAGGCTCATGCTACAATAATGTGCTTTAAACTGACACGGCTGAAAACGGAACCGTCTGAATTTCAGTTCCATCTGAAACATGGGCAGGCAAGGAAGCTCATCGATAGCATCCGAGCAGAGAAGGACAACAGCAAGGAGACAGGGACAGAGGGAAGTGGTGCCTGGGGTTTGAAAGGGTTGTACATGTATATCTACTCCTTGGGCTCCAAACCAAATCATTAGTGTGATTCATTTTTTTAACAAAAGCTATCTTTTTTTTTTTTTCTTTTGGTGAAATGTGTTTTTTGGGGTTTTTTTAATAAAGTTTGATGTCTTTGTAAGGTGATTTTTTATCTGTTACTCCAGACAGGTTCTTTTGGCTGCAGACTTGGCACTTTCTCAAATACCCACTGACAGTTGTTAGGACTGGAACCTCCCCAAAAGGTGTATGGTTGTCTTTTCAGTTGACATTCCCTGCTCTAGTGATGCATAAATTCCTGGCTCTTCCCAGCTCTTGCTTTGTTGTAGTGGTCAGCAAAGCAGCATTGCTAAAACACTACTTGTGTTGTTTTAATAAACCAGTAGCAGCTGCAGAAGAGAAGGCTAACCTAAGTTAATGCCTTGTTCATAAAACTCTTCTCGATAAGGAAGTGGGAAACCTCACTGAGACAACATGAATTTTTTTTTCTTTTTTTCTTCAAATTAAATGTCAATGTGAAACTGCTGCTGAACATTCGCACTCCGACTGGGATAAGAAATCTGCATAATTTGAAGCTGACTTAGGAAGTCTTATGTGTATTTTAAAGCTCTTTTTTAATGAAATCTAGGGGCTGCTCTACAAAATATTAACTGAAATTCTCCAAAAAGCCATTGGCAAGGGAGATTTGAGCAGGCAGACCAGGTAGGATCCTGTATAACGGTGTGTTGCAGAGTGTTTTGGTGCTGAAGAGGTATTTGCTTTACTTTTTTTTCCAGCTATGAGTCTCTCTCTATAGACATAGTAACTTAATGAAACACAGAAATATTCTTTTAAGGTTCCTGCTACAAATAGCTTCCAGTTGAGAGGGAAGAGCTGAAGAGGGTGAAGAGGGACTTGTTTAGAGAAGAGTGGAAGGCGGAGGTTTTAACAGAGCAGGAAACACATGATGATCTCTTAAATTAATAAAGTTTGAGTGTCTCCTTAATTCTGACTCCCTACAAGCCTCGGATGACCTTACCCAGTAGATTAATTTCTCACAGGAGCACAGACATTATTTGAGGGAGGAGTTGCCGCTGCCGTGGACTCGTGCCTCCAGAGCACAACTGATACTGTGTTTGGCTTTCATTCTGTAAAAACACACTTTCTTTTTTACAACAGTGAGAACTAACATGAGTTAATGAGAGGTGAGTGTAAAACCTTAGTGAAGATAAGGAGCCAGGAGTCTTTCGCACTGCTAGCAAAAGCCGGGTGTGGGTTAGGGGTGAAGTATTCACTTTTATCTGCTCCATCATTACCCGACTTCCCCTTTCTTCCTTGAAAATAATGGGCCCATACACACGTCTACAGAAGGAAGTCAAGGATGTTGAGTCTAAGTGACTTGGGTGAGGGAGAGGAGGTTTTGAAAACCAGAGAAGCAGTTTGGGGTCTGAAACAACCACTCTCCAGCTCAATAACGTGAAGCTCCTCATGTTGCGTGTACATAACGCCTATCTGTACAGGAAGCTCTGCTCATCCTGGAGTGGTGGCAAGTAAATAAGCAGCTGAAACCGCAGCTCCAGCGTGTCTCATGTGGGTAAATCCTGTTCTTAGTGGTCTTGCTGTGGAACTTCAGGTACCCATTTACTGCTCCCAAGGCTCCCTTTTATCTAGAGCTTCCCTGAGAAGGGCTGAACATGGGGCCTGGGTCTGAGAGACCGAGTGCCTACCCCAAAATGAACGGGTTTTACAAATGCTTTGGGCCTCTCTGGCTTAACCACCCCCTCCAAGTGCACAGAGATGAGTCTAGCCTCTTCAGTTCTGAATACATAGCTTTAAGAGAAGTCATGCTTCAAAAATTATTTAAAAGTTCTGATTTATGGGGTTTTTTTTAATTTTTAAACACAACTTCTGCCAACTACACTTTGTTGTATGTACCATCAAAATAGTTGGGTTTTTTATTCTTATAAGGACCTGAAAATTGTGCAGCAACAGTTAAACAGGGCTGGGCTCACATCTTCTGTGCCTACACAGCCTTGTAGACCTGAGTCACACATTAAACTGTCTGAGTGCTGGCGGCTGCTGTGTTAGAGGACACAACAGCTACCTCTTTTTTTTCAGTCAGCGAGTGAGGTATGTGCTTTGTTGACTTTAATCTCAGTAATGTTTCCTTGTTATTCTTTTCCATTTCAGAGGGTGACAAGGACTTGCAGTTTTGTTTCTGTCGTCCCTCTGTTGTCTTTTAACTCAGCTGAGGAGTGACTTGTAGAATCCCCTAGGTTTTTTGGCGATGGGGATGGGTTTGGGCTGCAGACCTTGAAGGTCCTTGAAGGTGAGGGGAGGGCAAGGAGAGACAGAGTTAATGCAAATTGGGAGAGAGTGAGTATAAAAATAGCTCTGAACTTGTCAGTTTGGTCACTGGTGGCTTGGCTTAGTCATCTGGCAGGCTCTCTTTCTGCTGCTCCAAGGGATTATTTTACAGCACTGAGATTTGACATAATTTCTGTAGAGGAGAGGGAGCAGGACGGGTGTAATGAGTGGGATACTGTCATCAGCACTTCTTTTGCACAGCAGCTGTTCTCTGTTTAGCTGCTGAATGTGGTCATTGTTGACTTTCCTTGTATACCTGCCAGGTTGTTAGGTGACTCATTTACACATCACACCAAGGTTCATGCACTTGGCTCCCAAACGGTTCCCTTCCCCTTTCCTTGGTGACCCTTTAGGCACAGAGCACCCACTAGTTTGGTCATTTTCCTGATTGATCTCTGTGTTGCCACCAGCCTGTTAGAGTCAATGTCCCGTCACCCCAGGCAGGGTGGAAAGGAGAGAAAAAAGGGAAAGAAAATCCCTGGTGCAGATTTAAACTGATGAGCCTCAAAGATGTGCTCCTGTAATAGCTCTGAGGTCTTGTTTTCACTGGCCTCTGTTCAAGTGGCTCTCCTCCTCTTATATGGGGTTTGTGGTACTTAACAACTGTTCGTGTTTGCTCAGGTTTCTGAATTTTCACGGGTTATTTAATGATGGAAATGTTCATTTTAAGATTTTTACACTTGAGCAGTGAAAGGACTGGCACAAGGAAGTGACCTCTACAATTAAGGGGCAATAGAGCATATCCTGGTTTAGAAGAAAACAACTGTTTTAACTTAATCTGGAATCCAAGGTGAGGAGATCAGAGGCCAAACCAAAGCCATTATTTCCTGTGGACTTGTGTTCAATGTGGTTGCAGGGAACTCCAAACTCTCCACGTTCCTGATTTCCACCCCACAATATACCCCTGTCCTGTTCTGCAGTGCCTTACTTCCTTGCTTCTTTATGCTTCTCCCTTTCCACCCCTGTCTCCCTTCCACCTTCCTCTCTGCTGCCAATTGGCCAAGATGTGGCTTGTGCTGGGACTTGTTTGGAGCTCCATTTACACTAGCTGGTCAGCTCCCAGCCCCTGCTGATTGACTCACCAGCTGCTGCCAAACATTGCAGATCGTCTTTTCCAGCACCCTCACTGTCCTCTACCCAACTTGCAATAATCAAATTCACCATAAAAGCTTGACTTTGATCAGGCTCGACCAAGGATTTCAGAAATTATTGGTGATTAAGGGGAAGGAAGGGGAGTGAGGGAGGAGTCATGTATGGGCAGGCTGATTGCATAGCCTTGTTTCATTGGGAGGAAAAATGAGAAATGGATTTGAGGGTGATTGAGTACAAGGAAGAAAGCAATGAGCGGGATTTTTATGGCTGTTTTATGTGGTTTGAGAGCACAATGTAATCTCTCCTAGGTGCACTCTAGGAGAAAATCTTTCATATCTCTTTCTTTTTATTTTTTGTCAGTGAATATTCTTCCTGTTTAGTGGTACAAGAGTTGCCTCTTCTATATAGTTTCACTGTTTGTATCTAGGCCAAGGGAATACACCAAGAAATAAATTTCCCTTTGAAACTTGTGTGGTCTCATATTTTTAGTACTGAGAATAACGTTGGTTATTCAGGTCTTCAGAGGTACAAATCAGGGACGGAGAGCTGGCAGTTTTGGGTTCTTTTTCAGCTCCATGCTCAGAGGTTGGGTAGGACCTTGATTTAGTTTAAATTTTTTAGTAATGTGATACATTCAGCAGCCTCCTGTTTCTCATGAACTTGAAGCTGCTTCTGCCTGTGAAGTATTTTGACAAGTGTTTTGCTTTGGTGTTTTGTTCTTCCTCAGTGACTCTCTGAACCTGTGAAATGGCAGTGATGGGACTTACATGCCAAGGAGCTCCTGATCCAGCTGTCAAGCACAAGAAGGAGCTCACAGCTACGAAGGGGCTGAACGAGACAGTGAGTGAAAAGCAGAGCAGCGTTTGCAAAGTAGAAGATTCAAAGAAGGTCATCTTTCACAGTCAGTGGAAAATCCTGAATGATGTCATCACCAAAGGAACAGCAAAAGAAGAAACAGAAGGAGGCTGTGCATCAATTTCTATTATTGCCCAAGCAGAATGTAAGTAGCAGGGCAGGCTGCTGTTCATTGAGAAAAAGGAATGTGTAATGCAGGATGAGATTTCACTCACTTTGCACTCCTGGAGAGCTGAGCTGAAATCTATTTGTAATCCCAAGTGGGGTGGAGTTGGTGACACATTGCAGTCTCTATTTAGGAAGCTCATGAAATCTCCTAATAATGTGTCAGCATCCACTGAATAAAGCATAAATAACAGAACAGCATGTGGCCATTTCACCTACCTGCTTCGACTATAAATCTGTGTCCTGCTGGGTCATCTGTTCTTGGCTGACTTCTGAAGAGCATTTTAAAAGGAGGGGAAAGAGAATTTAAAAAAATAAAGGTGTCAGGTGAGAAAGAGCTGGGAGGTCAGGAGATTGCAGTGTTGGGAAGCTACCTGATGCTGGGGGAGGAGGAATGTAATGTGGGTGATGTGGCATGACTGGTGGTTTGTCTGGATTGCTGTTTGGTTTAGCAAGTTGGTAGAGTTGTTTCTTAGTCCAGTTGTTACCAGGAGAGACTTTACCTGATATTGAAGACATGTGATGATCCTATTTTCTTCCACACAGGTGAAAACAGTCAGGAGTTCAGCCCCACTTTATCAGAGAGATCCTTTATTGCTCATAGTAAGCGTTACAGGTGAGAGACTCCTTAACATGAATACCCACCTTCCCTGTTGTGTGTGCTGACTTGTTCCACATCACCCTGGCTCTGTGTGCTTGCAGTGTTTTTTTCAAAAGCACTCCTGTTTAGATTAACTTTTCTGTCTGAGGCTCAGGGAGAGTAAGTCTTTCCCCAAACATCTTCCTCTAAACCTTTTTGTGTCAGGAGAAAATACAAGTTTAAGGACAAACCACTCAAAGCACCTTGCATTGTCTTGTTGTCAATGCCTGCTGATTGTCTTCTGCCTCCATTTCTGGGTGTCCTGGCCAGCAGCCACCATAGCTGTTCACCCACTTCCCCCCCACCCCCAGGGGATAGGGGAGAGAATTGGGGGGGGGCAAGGATAACAAGGCTTGTAGGTTTTGATAAGAACAGTTTAATAATAGAAATAAAAGAAAACTTAAAAAAACCCAAACATTATGTATCACACTGGGTTGTCAGATTTGTTTTGAAATGACTGAGTCATTTTCTGAGGTTCCTGGGCTTGAAGTAGAAGGATCCAAGAGAAAGTTTTCAGTCTTTTTTAGCTGAGCTGTCCTGATGTTTTGAAACCTTGTGACACCATCCTCTCTGAAAAGTTGTGGGAAACGGGCGCTAGAGTAGCCCTGAGAAATGAAACTGCTTTGTTTCTGGGGAGGACAAAGAAAAAGGGATGAGAGAAGAACTTTTGCCCAATGACAGCATCAGGAACAGAAATAGAGTCATGAAGAAAAGCTGAAAGTGGTGAAGGGGGAGTAATGGTTGTGATAGAAAAATGGAGGCCTGGGACTTGCTTTTCTGAAGTCATCTGGGCATGAGCCACTTTCTGTTTGTAAAAAATATACATCCTATTGGGCACATACTGGGGCTTTATTAAGCACTAGAGATTTATTAGGCAGCTCCAGCGCTCTCTGAAGTCAGTGACTGGGATATAGGATTAGGTGCTGCCTGTTTTCTGGAAGCTTTCAGACACTGAATCTGGCCTTGTGAAGCACATGGTTTGACACTGGCCCAGGCTTCCCAGAGAAGCTGTGGCTGCTCCTCCCTGGAAGTGTTGAAGGCCAGGCTGGATGAGGCTTTGAGCAACCTGGTCTAGTGGAAGGTGTCCCTGCTGCTGGCAGGGGGTTTGGGACTGGATGAGCTTTCAGGTCCCTTCCAACCCAAACCCTCCTATGATTCTATGACATTGCCCACTGACTTGATGATGTTGTCCCATGAACCAGCCGAAGAAATGCAGAGTGAACCATTTCTTAGAGGGTTTATGTGGAATATGTGTTCAGGTTCAGGGCAGTGTGGTAATGCCATCACCTAGAACTCTACTTACTGGATCTTTTAGCACTCAGTGGTGCACTGAAACAGCAGGAAAGATGGAAAGAGCAATGCTGTCTGTGAACTGCATCACTGTGCAGTAAAGGCAGATGATATTCTGCATGGATCAACAGAACAATTATGATTTCTTTAGTTGAAGATCAAATATCCTGTTTTCTCTTACAACTTGATTAAAAAAATCTAACTATCATAGAATCATAGAATGGTCAGGGTTGGAAGGGACCTTAAAGCTCATCCAGTCCCAACCCCCCTGCCAGCAGCAGGGACACCTTCCACTAGACCAGGTTGCTCAAAGCCTCATCCAGCCTGGCCGAGAACACTTCCAGGGAGGAGGCATCTACAACTTCCTTGGGCAACCTGTTCCAGTGTCTCTCCACCCTCACAGTGAAGAATTTCTTCCTAGAAACTACTATGACTGGTATTGAATAACTGCAGGCAAATGTTCCTCTGAGCAGTTGTAGCTGCTATTGCAGACCCCAGCTGGTGTGCTGGCCAGTGCTGTTTTGTGTATGTATGCGTTCCTAGAAATCATGCTGTACTATTGAGCTTTACCTGCCATGCTATTTTGGCTTTTGAAGCTATTTTATCTGACTGCAGTTGGTCATCTCTTTTCTTTCAAATGGAGCATACATTTGTATTATGATCACTTTTAATTAATTTTAACAATTTTAAAAATTAGATTGCATTTATACATAATTCTGTTATACATAATCTCTGTGTTCACTAAAAATCACAGACACAAACTGTCTCAAAGAGACATTCAATGCTTTTCCCTCTACTTTGCCATCTAGTCTTGCTGTTCCTTGAAGAATTTGCAAATACTGGGAGACTTAATGCTTCATTTCTCCCACACAGACCCCATATTTCTTCCTTAAAATGCCAGATATGCCACTGTGCCTTGATATTGAAGTTACAAATACTACATAAGGCAAGAAGTTACGTTATCAATCTCTGTTCTTTAAATCTCAGAAGGCAGAATTGCTGATTCTCCTTCTTGTTCTCTGGATCATCATTGTTAACTAGAGATGTGCTTCTAAGAGACTTCATGCATTTTGGTTCCCAACAGCCGGTCGGACAGTCTCGATCAAATCCCTAATAATGTGGCCCATGCGACCGAGGGGAAGATGGCACCTACCTGTTGGAGAGGAAGGCATCGTGGTAAGACAAAAAAGAAACGACACAAGAAGAGATCCAAGCTGAAAATACAAACAGTGGCTGCTGGCAGGCGAGGTCCCAGAACTCCAGAACAAGAGAGCTGCACCCCAATTCCCGTCCAGGTGAGAATCCTTAAACCTTCCTTTGGTACTTTTGGGATCCCTACAAACTCCCAACAATTTTTGGTTGAATTTTGGGTGGCTGTACTGAGGTTCCTGCTCAGCTGTTTTGGTTTGTTTTCTTTTCTAGGAGGATGAATCACACCAAAACACTCTCTACAGAAACAATTTTTGGGTTTCAGAACTTGACAAGGACTTGGTCTACAATCCACTGTCGTTTGAGAAACCTGAGAAAATTCTGTCCACAGGCAAACTCCATTCACCAAGGAGCCAATACAAACCAGAACTGCACAAGTTGATCAGCCCTATTCAGTGCCTTAATCATGTTTGGAAACGGCACTATCAGAGGGACAATGTTCCACAGCCTGAAACTCTCCATCCTTTCCCCTACAACATAATACCCCCTCATTTCCCACATCTGGACAGTCCTCTCCATGCCATGAAACGTAATGCTCTGGAGACATACTTCCATGGTGATCTCAACTATCAAGACAGTGAGCATCGCTTATCTGGCCTAAATTTAGAATATAGTTTCCCCAAATGTGTCAACCAATCCATTAAAACCAGTTCAGACAAGATTTCTGTGGAAGAATACTTGGTAGATGCCTTGAAGGGGAGCGTGAGTCTCGGTGAACCACAAAATTTAGCCAGCCTAGCCAAGACGTGGAGAGGAGGTGGTCTGGACTTGAAGGAACAATTTCATGAAGCAGATGAAAATGAAGGCGTGCTACTTAATGAGGTGATCTTCTGACCCTGCACACTAGTGTCATGGAAGGCAGAGTTTCTCCTGGGCTTCAGAAGAAAGATGGTCTGCATCCGTGTGCTAGCTTCTGTAACAACTGCATTTTCTGAATGATTCTTGATACAGTTGCAGACCACCAGTTAAAGATGCGGTTTGGGTTTTGAAGGATATAAAGCCCTGTCTCAGATTGGTGGCTCTGATTTGTTGGCTCGTTCACAAAATAGGCATGCTTGTCTAGGAGAAGTGGTTCTGTGCTTAGTCAGTCTTCAAACACGTCTTCTCTGTTTGTCTGTGAAAGAAGCCAGTCCATTCAGGTGAACAGGCTGCAATATTTTATTGGCTATAGATGACCTGGACTGTGACACAGACAGAAACCAGGGACGTGGAGATTGTGAAAGTGCAAAAAGCATGTCTGCTGCCTCTGCTCTGCTAGGAGGCCAGCAACTCTCTCATTGTCCCTTGCCAAACGCAGGACTTGGGCATAACAAATGCATGTAAATCTTAAAGGCATGATTCATTTCTTCCGAATTCAGTTCTCTTGCCACCTTCAGCTCCTCTTAGAGCACTCTTCGCTGGAATCAGTGTCACCTTGTCAGTGTTGTTGGTGGAGTTCAGGGTGTCACTTACCTGCCTGAATATGTTCACTCTGAGACCTAAGGCACAATCTCAGTTTACTGACTATGAAAAAGGTTTAGCTCACACATTGATGTCTACATTTAGTAACCTAAATCTTGTTTTGTTTGCAGGATTTAGCTTCAGAGTTACATCCTGCATGTGTAGAGATTACTTTGGTGCTCCAAAACTATCCAGATACTGGTGGCCTTTCTTTAAAAAAATGGGTTACACTCATTTAGATCAGACAGTGCCCATGGAAATCAAGTGGGTCCCCCTGTATAGTTTCATCTCAAGCCCATGACAGAAGTAATTTTGTACAGGGATTTTCAGAGAGTATCCATCATTGTGCTTTTTTTGAAAATGTTGGTCTCTGTCTGTGGAGCTCAACAGTTTAAGTGTTTTTTTTTTTTCCTTGCTTCATCTTATTTTCTCATTTTAACTTCCAGAAACTAAAGCCAGTGGATTATGAGTACCGAGAAGAGGTTCACTGGACCAAGTGTCACGGTTCTTTAGGCATTGGCTCTTTTGGAGAAGTATACAAAATAGAGGACAAACAGACGGGATTTCAGTGTGCTGCCAAAAAGGTAATGATGTGTGAGGAAGTTGGGGGTTTCCTGACACAAGAAGGCATATGGAGAAAAAGTCTTCTCCTTCCAGCTACCATGGGCTGTAGGTACTTTATTGTACAGTCAGAGAGAAATGCTGCTGTGGTTACACTCAAGGGAAAGCTTCAAGGTGGTGGCATGGAGAGAAGAAGCAGATGTAGGACCTGTATGTGTGCAGGGGGTCAAGCGTAGCAGCCAGGAGGAGGTTCATCTGGCCTTCAGAGTGTGCTACAAGGCACCTGGGGTTTTGTGCTGAGACAGCCCAAGAGAGCAGAGATTTCAGAAAGCGGGTAAGTGTGTTCCTAGTCACTGCAGGGAGAGGTGGCCCTGTGAGTTGTCTATTCTCATCTTAAAATACATCTAGTGTAAATAGTGCCTTGGTAGGTGTTTCTCTGTTGAAAAAGGAATAAAGTAGGAAAAAAATAAGACAGTCGGTAGGTGCTCAAAACAGAGAGAGCTTTGGTCTATTCAGTGAGAATGGTATGAAATACTGGCACATTGTAATGGGGTGATTCTGATACAGATGCAGCAAAGGATGTGTATTTTTCCACAAGCTGGTGAAATAATTTACTGTACAGCAAAAGATGTCATTGTCATATGATGTGTGAAGCGTGTGGAATAGAACTTGAATCAGGGTATTGATTTGTAGGCAGCCATGGGGGGGCCTCAGAGGTCAAGGCAGCGTGATAATGCAAGTAGATGATGAGAATGTCAACTGCTCTGTTTGAACTTAACACTCGAATAGTTTCATCACCTCTGTGAACTGATGTTTCTCACTTTACTCCAAGAGAAAACTTCAGCAAGTGTGTGGGAAGCGTTTGTCTTGAGTACAAAAATATTATATGCAAAAGGAATTGGAACTCACGTTTTTCAATTTAAAATGTTTGCTTTTTTGTATTTACGTTGGTCTCCACTTGCCTGTGGAAAGATCTAAGTGACAATTCTAAGCCAACTTGTCCAGTTTTTTAACTATTTTATTTGTGAGCTATACAGAAGCAAATATATTTCAAGCGTGTAGAAAATTATTTCCTATTCTGCATCCTCACATTTTAGATGTGGAATTTTGTGGCAGCATGAGCAGCTTGTTTTCTGACAGTATGTAACTCCTTACATTTATTATCCATTTTGCAAATAGACAGTCTTAGGAGAAATAGCTGTTACTAGTGGGGTGTATTTTCAGGAAGGAGCGGTAGTGCTGAAAAGAAATACATGAGAGTAGGAGAAGTTGAAGTCTTTCAAAATAGGGCTACAAAGATGATGAAGGAGCTGGAGCATCTCTCTGATGAGGAAAGGCTGAGAGATCTGGGTCTGTTCAGCCTGGAGAAGAGCAGCCTGAGAGGGGATCTGATCAATGTCTATAAATATCTGAAGTGTGGGGGCCAAATGGATGGGGCCGGGCTCTTCTCGGTGGTGCCCAGTGACAGGACAAGGGGCAATGGGCACAAACTGGAACACTGGAGGTTCCACTGAAACATGAGGAAAAACTTATTTCCTGTGAGGGTGGTGGAGCCCTGGGACAGGCTGCCCTTCGATGATTCTATAATTTTATTTTTGCCAAGTACTGCACCATCTGTAGATAATTTTTTTTTCTTCTTTCATGAAAGCAGAATGCTTAAATTGTCAGGATTATCTTTTTAACTGAGGCAGAAATTACCTTCCTCCTGAAGATTGCCAGTACTCAGCCATAAGCTGGAGGTGTGGAACCTGGCATCTTTTTCAACAAATCTTTACTCAGACACTGAGGATTTCATAGAATCACAGAACCCCAGACTGGTTTGGGTTGGAAGGGACCTTAAAGCTCATCCACTCCCAACCCCCCTGCCATCAGCAGGGACACCTTCCACTAGACCAGGTTGCTCAAAGCCTCATCCAACCTGGCCGAGAACACTTCCAGGGAGGGGGCATCTACAACCTCTTTGGGCAACCTGTTCCAGTGTCTCACCACCCTCACACTAAAGAACTTCTTCCTAATATCTAATCTAAACCTCCCCTCTTTCAGCTTAAACCCATTTCCCCTTTTTTTGTCATTAACTGCCCTTAGGAAAAGTCCTCCCCAGCTTTCTTGTAGCCCCTTCAGGTACTGGGAGGTCACTAGAAGGTCTCCCTGGAGCCTTCTCTTCTCCAGGCTGAACAGCCCCGACTCTTTCAGCCTGTCTTCATAGGAGAGGTGTTCCAGCCCTCGGATCATCCTCGTGGCCCTCTTCTGGACCTGTTCTAACAGATCCATGTCCCTCTTGTGCTGGGGGCTCCAGAACTGGATGGCCTTCAACACTTCCAGGGAGGAGCAGCCACAGCTTCTCTGGCCAACCTATTCCAGTGACTTAGGCATTTTCATTGTCCTTGTTCAGAATCATTCTGAGTGTTCCCACTTGTTGCCCTACCCGCTGATTTCTGTTAATGAAGGTTATCCCTGTGCCTCTGCTGTTAAATGGTGCAGGACACTCTGACCCAAGCATCAGGGAGGGATGATTCTGTCAGGATTCATCACAAAATTTGCTCAGTGCTTCTTCTTTGTTTCTCTAGGTACAAGTTGAACACTTCCGGGCAGAGGAGTTAACGACATGTGCTGCAATAACAAGTCCTAAAGTTGTCCCCTTGTACGGAGCTGTGAAGGAAGGACCTTGGGTGACCATCTTCATGAAGCTGATGGAGGGTGAGAAAGGAACAACCACAATGGAAGCACCATTGTAACTGTTGAATGCAGTGGACATTGAGCTCTTCTCCCTCCTGCCCCGATTTTAAATCTGTTAATTCTTTGGTGTATCCAGAGTGTTCCTAGCCTTAGTTCCTGAGTGGGTTGGGATAGGTATGTGTAACCCTTGCTGGTGTATAGCAATGGTCTTTTTTTGGGGGAATCATTTCCAGTCCTGCCTCACTCCAGTTCAAGATGTAAATCTCTTGAACAGCAGCTAAAAATTCTCACTAAAACACACAGCTGCTGCTGTTTGTTTTTTTTTTTTTGCTTTCATGTGTATTTGCATGGCACCATGTAAAGCTCATTGAACTGGAACAGGGGATACTGTATCAGCAAACCTAGGTGCTTCCATTGCCTGATGCTCCTTTTTCCAGCCAGGACCATGGAAAACACAGCCTGTGAAGAATCAAGCTGGTGATCAGTAGCACCTAGAAGTGTCTGCTACAATCACAGAGTAGTTGCTTTCGATACAAAGCAACACCATTAACCTGATACTGAGCAAAAAGCCTCATGAAATGGGCCAGATTCCGTGGGCAGGAAGAACTTTGTGAATAAGGAAAAGGAACAGGCCCATGTGTGGAAGATCATGGCTGTCAGACCTGGCAGTTCTCATTTCTTCAGCAGAAACAACAAGGAACACTGATGATACTGGGAAGAATCTAAAGATAAGCTAACATGGACTCTCTGGATTCCTTTCTAGGTGGCTCACTAGGGCAGCTAATTAAACAGAGTGGCTGCCTGCCAGAGGACAGAGCCCTCAGTTATTTGGGCCAGGCATTAGAGGGCTTGGAGTATCTTCACGCCCAAAACATTCTTCATGGAGATGTAAAAGGTAGGATGGGACTTAAAGTACCTTGTTCTTCCCTTTTGCTTACTAGAGGCAAATTTGGAGGTTAAGTTACTGAGTGGCAAAAGGTTGTTTACTTTTATAAATGGTTATTTATAACAGGTTATTTACTTTTATAAAGCAAATAAAGGTAAATCTATTATAAAGTAAATAAAGGTTAATCTATTTACTAGATTTTCGGCTCTACATTTGAGATTAGAGCTTAATTTGGTCTAAACAACTGAACATATCATATTTGTAACCTCTTTCTTTCTGTCATCCCATGGATCTGACAGGCTGTTTACCCAGGCTGCCCCACCACTGGGGTAAAGGAATCTCCAGGGCAGATAATTGGTAGCTTATAAGTAGAGATAATTGTAATTGTGTACTTGCTTAAGCCAGTGACACTTTGTAGGATTAATAGACCTCAGTTTGGGCTCCAAAAACTGGAGCTCTGTGGGGTTTTGACTTTATTTCCAAGTCAGTGACCATAATACAAAGGAGACTGATTAATGAAAAATTTCTTCTTGCCAGCGGAAAATGTGCTCTTGTCTGATGATGGAAGCAGGGCTCTTCTGTGTGACTTTGGTCACTCTGCTCACCTTCACCCCGATGGCCTGGGAAAGTGCTTGGTCACAGGTAAGGATTTTCTGCTCCAATTCTAAAGAATTACCCTACTGACTTATTCTTTTTGACCATCTACATATGGCTAATTTACAAGCAGCTGTATTTTCCAGACTTAACGTTGCTTGTTGTGTCATAGAATCATAGAATGGTTTGGGTGGG